AGGATTGAGTTCCAGTCTGTTTGTTTTATTGAATTTTCAAACAAGTCTATATAGAAGGCAATGTACACTATATGATATCATGATCTTGTTTTTTGGTAAATAACAGGAGCACTTACTCATAAAAAGCAATTTTGGTTTGCATGTAATGCTGTATGAGACAAAGAGGAAGGACATTAAAAGGAAATGATAACGGAATGATAAAAGCTTTCAAGGATTTATTTCCTGGTGCTACTTGAGGCTGGATTTGGTTTTGTTGATGCTTAAACATGGCTTTATACATGTATTGAAAATGTTTCAAAAATGGCATGCATTTTGTGGATTATTGTTACTATTTATAGTAACAATGACATCATTTTTTGTGATGCTGGAGTAGTTTTAGCTTTTACTCAGACAATGTAAAGAGTTTTATAGCTGATATATGTTGTTAAAGCTTTTGCTTGCTGAGGTAAAATAATGGTAACATATACATTCAGCTGTTGATATTGTGTATTATCTGTTACTAGAAGATGTCTTGTGTCGTGCTTTCGTGTGGTGATTGTTCAGTGCAAAAATGATTCCAAATTATATTGCACTGAAAATTATATTATAATAATATCAAATGTTTATATGCTGTTGCTCATTTAATCTTGAAAATCCATTGGAAAAAATAATATCCAGGGGCAAAGATATGAACCCTAGCTAGCTGATCCACTGCCAACAGATGTATTCATGTCAGTAACTTTGTTGTGTGCTGTAAATGTATGGTTGAACTTGTTTGAGGCTTGAACCTATCGTCTGATAACTTCAGTAGTATTATTGTAACAAACTTATTTTTACTTTTTTTAAAAAGTTTACATTTCTCAATAATTAATATTTAGGTCACCTGAGACAAAGTCTCAAGTGACTTATTGCAATCGCTTATTGTCAGGTGTCGTGTGTTGTAAAAAATTGTAATTTTGACTTCTTCTTAATAATCAAAAGGCCCAGAGTGCTGAAATTGGGTCTGTAGCATGCTGGGGTGAAGGGCTACCATGTTTGTTAAAATAAAAGACCTCGACCCACTTTCAAGGTCACGGGAGTCAAAATAATTAAATGACTTCTATTTCAATAGCCAAAAGGCCCATAGTGTTGATATTAGGCGGGCAGTATGCTGGTATGAAGGGCAACCAAGTTTGTGTAAAAGAATGACTTTGACCCACTTTCCAGGTAACAGGGGCCTGTTGTGTTGAAATACTTAAACAACTTCTTTATAATCAAAAGGCACAGGGAAATGATATTGGGCCAGTAGCATGTTGGGATGAAGGGCTATCATGTTTAAGTGAAAGACCTTGACCTCTATTCAAGTTCACAGGGGTCAAATATGCTAAATTTCAACAACAGAGAGTGTTATCAGTTCTGTTTGATTGAAAATTAAGCCTTAGAAACAATAAAAACCATGTAAGTATGCATATAGCAGTTCTATTCTGTCTGCCCTAATGCTGGGACTGATAAACAGGTTGTAAAACTGTCCAAAGACCTGAAGACCTCAGTTGACCGTTAAGGCCCATGACTGCCTCTTGTTTTGTACTTGCCTTTATTAAATAGTGTGTTTATCATATATGTATGAATACTCAAGGATTTGGTCAGTATCCCTGTTTATTGAGGGGGGTGTTCATGCTCAACATCAAATTTAAGACGGTCAAGATTATCTCCCGGTGAAGTTATTTAAATGTTGTGTATGTCTAGGTGTTTTTGTAGGTAATACCTCTTTTCTATGTTGTAATGTGTATTACATATATACAGGAGAAAATTCTGGCTTTCTCGGGTAAGGGTAGAGACTGACATGTTATTTTTATTTTCTCATCTTTTTTAATTGTATTCAAAGTTTGAAGGCATATAATGTCAAGTTTTGTTTATCATTCAGAGGTCAGATTTGTTAAATCTAGGGTAACAAGGCAATCATTCGTAGTCATTTCATGACCATCAACACTATATATCATCTGTAAACTTTATTCACCCATTGTACAAGGATTACAAAAAAACATGATTCGGCATTATTGTTTAATTATTAATGTTTGTAATGATACAGGCCATGCTGGCCTCTTGTTTTCAAATTTAATGTTGCATATTGTGTGCTAATGGTGTTTGCTAAGAGTGAAATATTTGAAGAAAAATATGATGATAAAAATGAGAAGTAAATAGTGATTCTGCCCATAGTTGTAAATGTGTTGATATTGTAGTGATGTTGTGCTGTATTTTTGTATTGATTTGTTATGTTAGGTAATTAAATAAATTTACTTTAACATCATACATCTGGTCATGATTGAAGTGCAGTACACTGAATTATGTACCAATACTTTGTTTCTTTGTTACTTTGAAAATGGTATTGGTTTGACGATGCATCTGTCATTACTTTTATTGGCCCAGTGGTCTTCACTCATAATTTGAAACTGTCCATTTTCAAGATTCATTAGGTTTTTCGACATTGACATGAAGTTGTGTTTCTTCTGGATGTCAGTTTGATTTGATGTGAAAATGTTTGGGGACACCTACCTGACCAAGTGGGTTTTCCCCAGGTACTGTGGTTTCCTCCCACAATTAGAGCCCTTACTCGATACATGTAATCCCACAATTCTATAGCATAGATTGTAATCATTGGCTCATTGGATGCTGAGTAGAAGTTTTATAACTTGCTCATGAGGAAAAACAGATTTATGTCATTCATTTTCATATAATATATATATATAATACCTAATATTGATTACATGTGTAACACTGAGACTAAAATATCCTTCAGTTTTCAAGAATACATTTTATTGAGGGTTGTAAGGATTTGGAGATGAACCATCTCTTGCAGCCAGTGTTAGAAATATCAATAGAAACTCCACCGATTTAACCACAGATCACATTGTATCAACTGATAAACTTTGAGAAAATAAATCATACATAACAAAACCTTCTTTGTTTTCAGTTTTTTTTTTTTTTTTTTTTACATATTTTGAAATAATTTCAAAAAGGTTGGTACAAGGCAAATTAGTTTGCCAAAATTTGCCACAGAACACTAAAATTTAGTTTGCCAACAAAAGTTGCCATGGAAAACTACAAATTATTTTGACAACAAAATTTTCCATGGAACACAATATTCTTTGTCCATAGTCTATGCAATAAAACAAATAAGTAATAGGGCCACCAAAATCAGTATGTTTGCTGTATATTGAAGTTAAAAGCAGATCATCACATTTCCTGTTAACGCTTTGACTTGGGCAAAAGCTTATGAGAGTCTTGATGAAGAAAACAGGGATTCTTTTTATAGAACTTGTATCACAACCAGTGGTTACAACCACTCTGCACCCTGGGACATGTCATGGCAAAATTGTAGGCACAAGCAAAGTAATTTGATTGTTTCCAGAATAAAAGAACTGACCAATCAAGCTGAAATGCTTCTTTGGAAGATCACAAATGAGCGACACTAAACTTCAAAGCCATTATAACATACCATTACATGACCTCAAGACTTGCTTGCTGTACATCATACTAGTCTTTTTGTCTTGCTCACATTGTGTCGCACATGCAACCTTCAATTTTGCTATGACATGTTCCAGGGGTGCAGAGAGCAAAAGTGATCATAATTCTTGGAGTATCAAGAATGGATTAGAGTGTGATGTTTCGGTGACTTCATTGTCACTTTCATCAGACAACTGATCGTTATGAAGCATAGTTGTACTGAAATATGAAGTGTACAAGATTGTAATGAATATTTTTTTAAAAAATCAAGTTTTGTTGGAGTGTAAATGCAGGTTTTATTGCTTCACTGCTAAATACCATCACAATGATTGGACAATTTGAATTTTCTTGTCAAACCTCGGAATTCTGAACTGCATAGTTTCAGGCTTTGCTTGTGTTGATGTTTAATTTGTGAATTCTAAATTACATGATCTGAGACTGTGCAGTTCTACTTTGAAGAAGTATATCTCTTTTGAGAAATGTATACTTTCCTGTTCTTTTCATGAATTTCTTAGTTTTAAACGCATCAGCTTGCAACAACTGAATTAAGACCTATACTATTATATGCATTATTCATTTTTATCGAAAGATGCCATTCATTCATTACATATCTTAAGTACAATTCTTTATAAAGATTTTATTCTACATGTTTTACTTTTCATTTATCGGAACTTGATCGATGAACACAGTTTTTGGTATCATTTGATGTCATGTTACTGACATCTTTAACTGATGTCTGAGATCTCATTTGACTGACGTCTGAGATGTCATGTTACTGACGTCAGAAATGTCATGTTGCTGACGTCTGAGATGTCATGTTGCTGACGTCTGAGATGTCATGTTACTGATGTCAGAGATGTCATGTGACTGACGTCTGAGATGTCATGTTACTGACGTCAGATATGTCATGTTGCTGACGTCTGAGATGTCATGTTACTGATGTCAGAGATGTCATGTGACTGACGTCTGAGATGTCATGTTACTGACGTCTGAGATGTCATGTTGCTGACGTCTGAGATGTCATGTTGCTGACATCTGAGATGTCATGTTACTGATGTCAGAGATGTCATGTTACTGATGTCAGATGTCATGTTGCTGACATCTGAGATGTCATGTTACTGATGTCAGAGATGTCATGTGACTGACGTCAGAGATGTCATGTTACTGACCTCTGAGATGTCATGTTACTGACCTCTGAGATGTCATGTTACTGACCTCTGAGATGTCATGTGACTGACCTCTGAGATGTCGTGACTGATGTCTGAGATGTCATGTTACTGATGTCAGAGATGTCATGTTACTGATGTCAGATATGTCATGTTACTGACCTCTGAGATGTCATGTGACTGACGTCTGAGATGTCATGTGACTGACCTCTGAGATGTCATGTGACTGACGTCTGAGATATTGTGTAAATGATGTCTGAGATGTCATGTGACTGATGTCTGAGACAGAATATTTGCAAAGTTTAGGTATTTAACCTAGGAACAAATTCCTACACAAGTTTTGAAATGTCTAATCTTTATTGTCACTCCCAGATGGACCAGAGGGACAGGAAGGGAAAAGAAAACCTGTTGATCCAAAGCCTAGGTAAAGAACACTTTTTATCATGTATCCATTTATTGATTTGATCATAACAACAGATGTAATTTGTTGTGTTGACTTCATGTGTGTGTCATTTAACTTCATTAAATAATGACTGTGATTTTGTGAACAATATAACTAACTGTTATGTGGAGAAAGTATTAAGCTATAAAGTAGTGCTGTTTATAGGAAACATGAGACAAGGCAGTAAAGAGAATTACTGGACTTGCTGCCTGTATCTAAGTATTGATTTTGGCCAGTTCAGAAGGACGAAACAGTTCAATTGAGTAGTTCTAATCTTTGTTTGACTCTATTGTTATCAATTCCAAGTCTGTATTTGAAATTGCTTTTAATTTGTTTTTTTTTTACACAATCCTTTGTATACCTATTTAGGGACTGTTTATTGCATTAGACATGTTGACAATGCTATCTATATCTAGCTTTGTAACACTAATTGATAACCATGTATCATTACCATGGTTTTAATTTTAACGTGTACAACATTTTCAGGAATGAGGCCACTGTATTGTCTACAAGGTCAATTGGGTAACTATCACCATTATGTAAAAAAAATAGTTTTCAGAGTGCACTACAAAAAGTTGACCTTTGTTGAAATTTTGTTTTTAAGTTATCAATTTCTTCAATATCTGATTTGCATTTTCAATAGAATTTATGAGAAATAAGACTGCGTATAACTAATCAGGGTTATGGCGGTTAATTTTGACTGATCAACTGCTTATATTCCCTACTGCTAACTAATAGTGAGTGAGTTTAATTGTAGCAATTTAATTGAATTATTTTCTCTATTTTCTTTTAATGACTTATTTTCAGGAATGTAAATTTTGAACATTTTGATGGAGCTTTGTTTATATGTTAGCTTTTTGCTTCATTGTTTTGTTTTTGTTTGCGATTGCTTAATTCTTGCTTCTGCTAATTTGCACCCAAATATTGAAGTCATACAAGAAAGAAAAAGAGAAATAGAAACAGAGTGACAGAGCAAGTATTCATGGTTGAAAATAACGCAAAGCATGCATGTTGTCACCTCATTGACTGCACTGATTTACAAGCATTTCTAGAAATAATAGTTTAACTGCATAACTGATTATTTACCGCTTGTTGAAAATTAGTTCTTTATTAAGATATTTAAGTCTTCCACTCCAGAAGTTCTGTCTGATTCCTGTCATTTTATATAAAAAAAATTCATGATGTGCAATATTAAATTGACTACATTTTTGGGACCATGTCGTGCGACATTATTTGTTTTTGATCAAGTCTTCTCTGTGGTCCACGTCACTTGATAACTTTTAAGATAATCTGGGACGAATCAACAAAGGACTAAAACAGAGGAAGGGTTGGCGGGGCTACACATTAACTACTACAAATTAACACATTAAACTACTATATACATCCTTGTACATGGTTATATAAGATTTAACAACATGGCTGATATAATGAACCGTGCCCCTCCTTTTTCTGAGCCGAAAAGCATTACCCACAAAATATGAATGTTTATGGTACAGCTTTTGCTAACACAGCTAATGCTTTTAACGGTACAATGATTTATGAATAATACTCAGGATGCATTGAGCTATATTTTGTAGCTTCTTGATTTCTTTTTGCTTCAGAAGCCCAACGTCAACAAGTAAAATCAAGACCAAATTCAGGAACAACCAAGTTAGCGATTCCAATGAAAGGTGCTTCACATTCTGTTACAATAGGCTTGTCGCTTTCTATATTCAATATAATAAGTTTATTCTATCATATATTATGCTAAATTCATACTGACGACAGATTTTTGATTCCCCTGTTTGTGCTAGAAAAATATTTTTTGTCAATTCATTGCTCTCATGCTGTTAATTGTATTGTGTATTTACATGTTTCACTTTCAGTGATGTAGACACTACAACTCCTCGAGGAAAGTCTGCCCTGGATAGTGTTCCACCAGGTCGAAAGTTGCCACCAATCAATATTTCATCTGTGCCCAATGTCCCAGAAGAGCCAGAAAAAGTAAAGAAGAAGAAAAAGAAAGTTAAAAAGTCATACAAAGATGATAAACAGGTAATATCTTTGTCAACAACAACTGATACACTTCACTTAACACTACCGCATCAAGATAGCATGTCAACAACAACAACTGATACACTTCACTTAACACTACCGCATCAAGTAAATAGCATGTCAACAACAACAACTGATACACTTCACTTAACACTACCGCATCAAGTAAATAGCATGTCAACAACAACAACTGATACACTTCACTTAACACTACCGCATCATGTAAATAGCATGTCAACAACAACAACTGATACACTTCACTTAACACTACCGCATCAAGTAAATAGCATGTCAACAACAACAACTGATACGCTTCACTTAACACTACCGCATCAAGTAAATAGCATGTCAACAACAACAACTGATACGCTTCACTTAACACTACCGCATCAAGTAAATAGCATGTCAACAACAACAACTGATACGCTTCACTTAACACTACCGCATCAAGTAAATAGCATGTCAACAACAACAACTGATACACTTCACTTAACACTACCGCATCAAGTAAATAGCATGTCAACAACAACAACTGATACACTTCACTTAACACTACCGCATCAAGTAAATAGCATGTCAACAACAACAACTGATACACTTCACTTAACACTACCGCATCAAGTAAATAGCATGTCAACAACAACAACTGATACACTTCACTTAACACTACCGCATCAAGTAAATAGCATGTCAACAACAACAACTGATACACTTCACTTAACACTACCGCATCAAGTAAATAGCATGTCAGATAGATCATATACTGAGAAAACTCATCAAAATACTTATTCTTTTGTCAATCAGGAAAAAGGACCCGAAGATTCAGATACGAATCGTAGCGAGCAAAAGCCTAGTACATCGGTAGTCAATGGAGACACACAATCTGACCCTAAAGCGTCAGATGCGAGTCATACCGAGCATAAGCCTAATACATCGGTAGTCAATGGAGACACACAATCTGACCCTAAAGCGTCAGATGCGAGTCATACCGAGCATAAGCCTAGTATATCGGTAGTCAATGGAGACACACAATCTGACCCTAAAGCGTCAGATGCAAGTCATAATCATCAGCAAGAAGCAAGTGCATCGCAAGGCAATTAGACAATTGAGTCACACTATCAGAGTCGGATGTGACTCGTCAGGAGCATAAGCTTATTGCATTGGTTGTCAATGGAGACACAAAAAAGTTAAATGAAAATGACTGCAATGTAGTGCCTGGTGGATTACCAAGCAATAGAAGCATACAGATAGACTTTCCTGGCTCCAACAGAAGAGACAGCGAGGCCTAAGCTCAAACACCATTCGGAAAAAATATTCGATGCAGTTAAACCAACAAAAACATATTTATTTGAAAAAGAAGTGTATTGATGATGAAGACCATAACTTGTAATGATTTATACTGGAAAATTTGTAGGTTTTGATATATTATATCAATAATATTTCAGATTTTCTTTTTGTGACTACATCCGTCCATTTTCACCAGTTATATACATGTGTGATTTTTAATGTATTCCTTTTTTATTATATGTTTTGTTAAATATCTCCTTTGTTATTGATTTTTTGTTATACAGGATGAAGAATAGGTAAGAGAATCTATTTTTAGCATGTTCACCTCCCATAGCTACACAGGTGTAGTCTTTTGTGTAGCTGCTATCTGGTAGTAAATTGCTAGTATATCCTGTACTATGCACACAGTGTACTGTTTGTAATATCTCTATATTGTTACTTGTGTATTCAATGATCTACAAATAGCATCTGATTAAGTTAGCTTGTTTTCTAGTGGACATCCCAGTCCACAAGAAAGTATGAAATCACTATCAAAGCCACTGTCAAAAGATATCAGTTTAGGAGGGCATATAACAACAACCTTTTTCCTGTGTATCAATTCCTGCACCAAGAAAATCCTGCACTCTATCTCCCTTCACAAGGACACATGAAAACTTACTCCTGTGTTATATAACCTTGCATGCAAATTTCTGCATTCAAACACCAGCACATACACTCCAAAATTATCACCTCTAGTTCCTACATACAAAGTCTGAACATGATCACCAAAATTATACCCGCACATGTAATATTGTAGAAGTATTTCTCATCAGGTTTTACACATCCCTGGTCTATAGGCAGTCTCTGATCCCTCTATTACATGTCCCCAGTCTATAGACAGTCTCTGATCCCTCTATTACACGTCCCCAGTCTATAGACAGTCTCTGATCCCTCTATTACACGTCCCCAGTCTATAGACAGTCTCTGATCCCTCTATTACACATCCCCAGTCTATAGACAGTCTCTGATCCCTCTATTACACATCCCCAGTCTATAGACAGTCTCTGATCCCTCTATTACATGTCCCCAGTCTATAGACAGTCTCTGATCCCTCTATTACATGTCCCCAGTCTATAGACAGTCTCTGATCCCTCTATTACACATCCCCAGTCTATAGACTGTCTCTGATCCCTCTATTACACATCCCCAGTCTATAGACAGTCTCTGATCCCTCTACACGTCCCCAGTCTAGTCTCTGATCTCTATATAGACAGTCTCTGATCCCTCTATTACACATCCCCAGTCTACAGTCTCTGATCCCTCTATTACACCCCAGTCCAGTCTCTGATCCCTCTATTACACGTCCCCAGTCTATAGACAGTCTCTGATCCCTCTATTACATGTCCCCAGTCTATAGACAGTCTCTGATCCCTCTATTACACATCCCCAGTCTATAGACTGTCTCTGATCCCTCTATTACACATCCCCAGTCTATAGACAGTCTCTGATCCCTCTATTACACGTCCCCAGTCTATAGACAGTCTCTGATCCCTCTATTACATGTCCCCAGTCTATAGACAGTCTCTGATCCCTCTATTACATGTCCACAGTCTATAGACAGTCTCTGATCCCTCTATTACACATCCCCAGTCTATAGACAGTCTCTGATCCCTCTATTACATGTCCCCAGTCTATAGACAGTCTCTGATCCCTCTATTACACATCCCCAGTCTATAGACAGTCTCTGATCCCTCTATTACACATCCCCAGTCTATAGACAGACAGCATCCACATCCCTGGTGTTGTGACAGACAGTATCCATGTCCCTGGTGTTGTGACAGACAGTATCCACATCCCCGGTGTTGTGACAGTATCCACATCCCCGGTGTTGTGACAGACAGTATCCACATCCCCGGTGTTGTGACTAACAGTATCCACATCCCCGGTGTTGTGACAGACAGTATCCACATCCCTGGTGTTGTGACAGACAGTATCCATGTCCCTGGTGTTGTGACAGACAGTATCCACATCCCTGGTGTTGCGACAGTATCCACATCCCCGGTGTTGTGACAAACAGCATCCACATCCCTGGTGTTGTGACAGACAGTATCCACATCCCCGGTGTTGTGACAGACAGTATCCACATCCCCGGTGTTGTGACAGACAGTATCCACATCCCTGGTGTTGTGACAGACAGTATCCACATCCCTGGTGTTGTGACAGACAGTATCCACGTCCCTGGTGTTGTGACAGACAGTATCCACGTCCCCGGTGTTGTGACAAAGAGTATCCACATCCCCAGTGTTGTGACAGACAGTATCCACGTCCCTGGTGTTGTGACAAAGAGTATCCACATCCCTGGTGTTGTGACAGACAGTATCCACGTCCCTGGTGTTGTGAGATAGATATTACCACTTGTGGACATTCTAACATACATCAGCATCAATGCTAAAGATGCAGATTGATAATTGAGGAACTTGTGAAATGGCTTCAAATGTAAAATAACTTTTGTTATAGATAAGTTATTTCTAAAAGGGATTTGCCCGTTCATAGTGATGGATTTGAACAAAGCATTAAAATCCAAAACCCTGAAAATTTGTAAATAAGTCGATCCTTCAAATAAGTCTGAAGTTTCGTACCAAAATAAACCTTTATTTGCTTACTATGGTTAAGTCTTTTGGGGGGATTTTTTGTGGTATTTTTAAATTCTATTTGAAGTGTTGAAATGTCCACTGTGAAAATGTCTTATTCACAATACTATAGTAATGCTAGGTGCTTTGGTTAAGTAAAAGCTTCAGCAAGATAAAAGTACTTATCAAGATAGAAAATCTACACTGACATGTGTCTTTGTACTTGATATTCTGGAAGAGCTTGTCATGACCTGTTTGAATGGCAGATGGCTTTGAATGCTGGCGTGGACAAATATCCTGTTTGAGTATTATGTTTAATCAATATGGCTTTCTGTAATGTGTTAATGCATGAACTAAGACATATATAGGTCTGTGGTTATATACGTATCTGCAATAAAGAAACAGATATGAATTAGTTATATGAATCAGTATTAATGCTTGTTTCCTGATCAGGTTAAAAGTCTGATTTATGAATTATTTTGAGTTACTTTTTAAATCATTTCAATTTCAGATTGATAACACTATAGTGTTGAACCCCCGTGATGTGTCTACTTTCTACGCAGAATGTCTCTTTTTATACCATCTAAATATGTAGTCAGTAATTTATATGTGATATGAAAGTGGAGAGTTATCAGCTTGGTACATTATACTGGGCTTTGTCACCAGTCCAGTCTAACATGAAACTGGATTTTCTCTTCTGCTGTATACTGACACTGAAGTCATATACGGGTATATACAAATGTTGACTCTATTTCTCTGTACTAGTTCAAAGTCATCAGGATTTTGTATTAACAGCTTTAATTATCTGATTCACCATCACAGTATAAAACCTGTTGTTATCCTATTCCTGATTGGCTAATATACCAGCATGGTATTAAACCCATTGTAATCCTTTCTCTGATTGGCTGATATACCAGCATGGTATTAAACCCATTGTAATCATATCCCTGATTGGCTGATAAACCAACATGGTATGAAACCCCTGTAATCCTATCCCTGATTGGCCAATTCAATGTCACACTATTAAACCTGTGACATTAACATGTTAATGTAATGATCTTGTTGATCTTAGATTTTCACAATAATATTTTTTTCACTTTTGTATTTTAAAGTATTTTGTAACATTGTATATGATAATGTTGGCTATTTTGTCTGTAAACTGTATTTATTACATCTGAGAATATCCCATGTGATTGATTTTGATGTTAAGACTTAAAGAATCCGTCCATATTTTGATGAAATGGCAGCTTCCTGAAATGAGTGATATAGTATTACTGACAAATGGAAACAAACTATGGGATTGTTGTTAGATCACATGATAAGGTTTACGATGATCATGTGACTTCCAGATTGATGATTGTGATATACATATATACTATTCTGGATTCAGTTTACGTTTTGAGGTATTCTGGTAGATGTCACAAACACATTGTTAAGTCAGTAACGATGTATTATCATTATTATAATATTATTTGAAAGTGAAGAAGGTACATGTGATAGAATTTTTTTTTCTAACATCTGCATTGCTATATTTTATACAATTATAGTATATATTGAATATATTGAAGTCTCCATTAAACAGGTTAGCAGACTGACAGAGGCTAGGTAGACCTATCTTTCAGAGTTTTCGGAGATAATGATATATCTTGTCTACTGAAGGACGAAAGGCTATCATTATATTGTGTCAACTGTGGTTTACCTCCTCATTTATCATTGTGTATGCTAAGTTACTAGTACTGCCCTAGTCTGCACACACAACCCCCTCCTAGTCTGCACCCCCCCGTCCCCCCATCCTCCCATATCCAATTTGATATTCTGTCAACTGTGGTTTACCTTTTCACTTATCATTGTGTATGCTAAGATACTAATACTGTCCTAACCTTCCCCACCCCCGCCCTTGCCCCTCCCCCCACTGCCTCCCTCCTCCCATCTCTGATTTGATGTTGTGTCGACTGTGACTTACCTCCTTGCTTATCATTGTGTATGCTAAGGTACTAATACTCTCCTAGTCTGCCCCACCCCCACCCCCACCCTCTCCCCGCTTCTCCCCCACCTCCCAATCCTCCCGTCTCTGATTTTATATTGTGTTGACCGTGGCTTACTTCCTAGCTTATCATTGTGTATTAAATCATCACTTTTTTACATAAATATCCTGAAATTTGCAAACATGTGTGACTTCTAGTGTATAAAATGATATTTTTGTTTATAACTGAACTGCAATTCATGAAAGTGGTTTTGAAATGTTTCATCGTTTTTCAGCATGATTTGCAGCTTGAAGTGATATTTGTTAGTCCAGATAATTTGCTTCAAACATTCCAGTCAAAGCTTTGCAAATATTACACAACTCTTCAGAATGTTTATTTTCAAAAGATTTGTCAAAGTTTTAACCAAGTTATGAATAAACAGTGAGGAATATCTAAAAAATTAATGGAATTTTCATGTCAAAGTGTTGGCAATGTTTAATGTGAAAGTCTGCACTAACGAATGACCTTGTTTTATGATAAAATTAATGATTAATAATTATTAGTTATCATGGCTGCCTTATTGTTTTTTATGAATATATTATATAATTATTAGCTTACGCTGAGAAGAAGCTTTTGGGAATTTCTTAATATCTAACATTCACATTTGAAAATAACATACAAGATCTGATACCTTATACACATGAAATGGGCTGGTTTCATGACTTATTGTGAAGTCAGCAAATGCAAATTAAATGCTGTCTTGTACTTGGAGATTCCATTATGACGTCATAGTGAAGATTACCTTTACAGAGCCATTATTTGACTTCGACTATGACACATAAAAGAACTTTATCTGTGATATCAGCAAAAGAACACAGTGATAAGTCGAATCATTGAAGTCATTTGTTCTTTCATATGTGACACATGAAAATTGTCAAATAATTTTCATTTTAGATTGCCAGAAATTTTGTATGAAAAGCAAATAATTGTGTGATCAAAATACTGCACAGAAAATGTTGCAAAAATCATTTGGAAAATGGAAAACTAACAAATACAACCAAACCAATTCGGGGATTTTTTGCACTAAGTGAGTGGTAACTTATTGTTAAGTGAATACATTTGTCAAACCAAACAAAATACAACAGCCATATTCCTAGCTACAATAAACAGCGATTTTATGATAGTGTTTATTTTTCTGTAAATACATTAGTCATTAAATATTTAGATATATTTAGAGAATATTTTACTTCAATCACGTGTTGATAATAAACAAAATATGATATCTAATTGTACAACTTATTAGATTGCTTTATCACAGTTCACTCGATCATTTTTAGTTTTGTTTATATATAGTTAACATACATAAATGTTCTATGTAATTTTAATTGCTGTTGAATTCTGTAACCTTGAGGACAAAACATTCATGGTACATATGTTAAAGTTGATTCACAACATGCTTTAGTCTTCCTGTGTACACTGATATCAATGAATATGATATAGATTTTTAGATGAATTAGTTTTAATCAAAAACTTTCAATTTTCTGATTATTTTTACTTATTGCTACTGCAGTTACCTTAAACATGTGTAGCTGTTAAATTCAGAAGAGCTATTTTTTTTATTGAATTCAATTTTTTGCAACACGACTCAGTTAAATATTCATTAAAATATATTATAAACATTTGTCTGGAGTTTAAAGTTTGTTGTGATATATTCTGAATAATTGTTCACTTGGTATTCAATTTGAGCAAAACATAATTGTGAAATTATCAGCTTTTTGATACTTTGAATGGTTGTGATTTTTTTAAAAAAGAAAATTTTCAATTCAGGGTAAAAAAAAAAAATTATTCTATTGTGTGAAACATTAACCTATCTAGATTTCATCTTAGCAATGATTTCCTTTCATATAAAAATGATGTTTGATTTTACATGAATGCTCTCCTTCATTTAAGACTTGTTTAGACAAGTTTCCCATGTAATAGATACTGTATTTTGTCTATGTTTACAGTCTGTACAATTTTCTCTGTAGATGTTTTATAGAAAAATAAAGATCATTGATCTCTACGTTTGGTGTTTTGATCTTAATTTTAATGATATTTTGATTTCGAAATTATATTTAGAAACACAGAATTTAAATGGTCCAGCTGTTCTAACTTTAGGGACATTGATTGCTTGGTTGACAGGTTCTCCGTCTCTGTGACTCCTCCTGTTTCAGGGTATCCTCTCCCCCACAAATGTCAGTGTTCTGGTGATGTGGGGGGGTGACCTGCATTCCCCTCAAAGGGGAAGAAATGTCTGCGGTGGTGACAGTTTGATGATGTTAGTGTTAGTAGATGGTTCCTTGGTCTAATAATGTCTTATCCTATTTCTAGCAGTTTGAAATATGCCCAGAAGTGGAAAGGAAGAATTGGGAGCCTACATAAATTTAGTTTATGTTAAGATAATTTTGGAATCTATCAAATGCCTTAAAAATAATTGTATAGCCTAACACAATCCCTAAACCCTGGACTGGTGTTATCACGTCTTCTCTTTTTCGAAAAGCCACAGGATGATCTTTAGGGTACGCATGTGAGAGTAGACAGTCCTCACACGGACCACCAGTTAAAGTCTTATCACACGGACCACCAGTTAAAGTCCCATTACACGGGCCACCAGTTAAAGTCCCATCACACGGGCCACCATTTCAAGTCCCATCACAGGGGCCACCATTTAAAGTCCCATCACACGGGCCACCATTTAAAGTCCCATCACATGGGCCACCATTTAAAGTCCCATCCACAGGACTATTTTAGAAATGTGGAGTTGGTTCGTTGTTTGGTCGACAGGTTTTTTGTCTCTGCGACTCCTCCTATGTCCGAGCGTCGTCTCACTTACAAGTGTCAAGTCTGTTAAAGTTTGTATATTTATTTAAGGAGTTTTACTTCTACTATTATGGCCTTTCGGCCTTTCAGCAGATGATTAAACGTGAAGTCAACATGATATATATATATAACATGGTATATATATAAACCCTGCACATGATGTCTCTTATCCAATCAGAACAAGAGAGAATCTTGACAAGATTTGAATATAAAACAGCTGAACCATATGGACTCCATGGTTTGGAATTTAGAACAACCTGATGATACAAACCCCACAGTATGATAAACTTGTTGTAGAGGATAATTTGTAATATTTCATTTCATCATTTTTATTACATTTTTGCCAGCGAAATGAAGAAATTATAATGTTGAACAATAACTTGTATAAATTCCTGCAAAGATGAAATATCAGCACTAGTGATGAAACCTGTACCTAGGTATATCTTTTCCAGGGGTAACAGCTGTGCTTTCTATCCACTGTAATGAAATTGCGAAGAAATATTTAGATATTCTGTCAAATTCCTTAACTATATGATAGGAAACCATTAAACATCCTCTGTATTTGTTTAAAGATTTTAGAATTAATATTTGTTGATAATTACGTATCTGAATATTCAAGGTCAGCGATAACCATATTACTAGTACACATTTTATGTGAACACTTACAACCTTTTTTCTGTTAATATGGTGTTGTAAAAATCTTTGTGACCTCCTCAGAGGTCAATAACAAATAGATAACAAATTTCAAATGACAAAGATGTGGAACAAAATCTAATCACAGAGACACCAGCAAGAGTACTTTCATCCTTGGACTCGTTGATGTCAGTCTGGATTAGAGAATGACATTTAAATCCTGAAGAGGAATAATTTATTGCTGGGCACAGATTTCTAACGTCATGGATGGTACATCAGAATGTGATTAGTAGTACTGATATCTCCTGTCAGGTGTCGTGATGATAAACAGGGACAATCTCTAAAACACGGACCATTTAATCATTTACTCAGTGTAATTTACACAAGTCAGTACCTGATTGAGCTGGGGGTTGATTTATGATGGTGGTTCTTTTAATATACAGTAATGTCCTTGAACTACTTTCGTTGAAGGTCGCTTATGAGTTTAGCTTTATGAAATTCGACTAACAGTATGTTTAACATAAGTACATTTATTCTTATTCATTCTGATCTATTCTATGTATAATTTGATAACTATTGTTTAAACCAATCAAATCTTCACTTAAGTAATTGCCCCCTCATCTCGATTCATATCTTCCAGATACTAATAAATCAAAGGGGGTACTTTAATCAACCACATCAAAAGGTTCCCCCTCACTTGCATCCCAAAGTTGAGACTCTTGCTCCTCCGAGTCTGAATATTTCGATTTGACTGCAAATTTTATACATAATGTAAACATATTGATTTGTAACTTTTATTTTTTGACCAAATGTACAAAGTACCGAACATGCTACTCGCCGACAAAATATATATGAAATAGGATATACATGGCATTGTCTTCATTTTCTAACATGTTTACGTATATTTCGTGCACAGAGGGAAATATTTCGAAATAGCACAAACAACCATAAGAAACAGCCGGTGTCTTACATCTTAGGAATGTTATCGGTGTTTCTATATAGGTTTATGCTATTGTCGCTTAAACTCAGATCAAGTAAAATGACCTTTTTCACAGGAGTATTATCCGTGTGTGATGGTTTTGTGTTTATGTAACGCAGCAACGGGCTTTACGTGTGATCTGTAGTTAAAGTTATTTTTGAAATGGGGTTGGTGTCTTGTTTTTTCACATTCGTCGCACCAGGAAGTTCCTCGCAGATAACTGGTTTGAGCAGGATGATAGGTTGACACAACAACGATAAAAGCTTTGTTATCTTGCAGTACTGGAACAAAAAAGAAATCATATACATTTATGCACATGTCAGAGAGTCATTCCCTAAATTATACTAGCCTTTATGTATGTAAGTGCATGCATGTTCATGACTTGGAGATTAGTTGAATTGAAATAAGGATTTTAGTACCTCTCTGGGCCTAAAAGTCGGGTTAGAAATCAACAAAGCATTGCAGTAAACATAAAGGATTAGTCATTCGTGATAAACTGCAATATGATGATCAGTGATTAACAACATAATAGCTCTCTGTATATCAGTATGACACCCGATATAAACCCGACAGTCAGGTCTCTTGACACAACGTTCTGCACAATAAACACCCACTCTACACGTCTCTGCAGAGACCACATGTACATTCTAAATCTGAATATAAATCACACACACGTATCATTTAACAGTAATTACAATGTTTAAATATGCCAACTTTAACTCTCTTTATATCAGCTGTTAATGCTTGGCATATTTATACGGATATAATAAATTAAATCTTTAAATTAAATTAGATATATATAGTTTGTCATCGGGTCTGGAAGAGATGATAAAATCCCCATTCTTTACTACATGTAACACCTATAAAATCCCATCGGACACGTAGGGGTGTTTTAATTTGTATTATTATTATTATTTCTTTTATTTCCTCCAAATGTGAAGAGTTACACAAAAAGAACATATATACATTGACATTGTAGACAATATCCCTTGTATTACACAGTATAGTAACTGTAGTGAGATTTGTTAAGTTAAGTTCAGTATACACCACTGTACATATATCTGTTGTAATTTGAAGAAAATATTTTGGGTGGGTCCTGTTATGTATAGTTGACATAGAGCTTGTATTTCATGTAAACGGAAGCCACACGTTGTATTTTTATAATCTTTACATTGGCAACGGTGATGTAATGATAGCAAATTTAAAGAAACACACACACAATCCAAACATTATGAATCAATATTTGATGACGACTGTCTGTGGCCATTCAGGCATGTCTGCTCAAAGTCAAACATAAAACATGCATGACCATTCTTTCTAATGCGATACCCTTACAAAGACAAAGCCTTGTGTGACTTGGTGATACGATTGTGTAATTATAATGTTTGTGAATTCCATGTCGGTAAACATCCGTGACGGACGACCTAGGGGCTGTCTAAAACTACCTCGTGTTTTAGACATAACCTGTTTTGTCGGAGAAAATATCAATTTCCGAAGTAAGGAATCATAACACTTTAATAAACATTCTCGCTGACAAGTTATCAATATTCATTAATGACCATATTGTGTGTAACAGCAGACTGTATTTCTAAAGCAAATACACATTATTTGTATGAACGTCGTATGGTGGTGGTGGTGGTGGTGGCGGCGGCGGTGGCGGCGACGGTGGCGGCGGCGGTGATGGTGGCGGTGGTGGCGGTGGTGGTGGAGATGGTGGTGGTGGTGATGGTCGTGATGGTGGTGGTGGTGGTTGTGATGATGATGATGGTGGTGGTGATGGTGGTGGTGGTGGTGGTCGTGATGGTGGTGGTGGTGGTTGTGATGATGATGATGATGGTGGTGGTGATGGTGGTGGTGGTGGCGGTGGTGGTGGAGATGGTGGTGGTGGTGATGGTCGTGATGGTGGTGGTGGTGGTGGTTGTGATGATGATGATGATGATGGTGGTGGTGATGGTGGTGGTGGTGATGGTGGTGGTGGTGGTGGTCGTGATGGTGGTGGTGGTGGTTGTGATGATGATGATGATGATGATGGTGATGATGATGATGATGATGGTGGTGGTTGTGATGATGATGATGGTGGTGGTGGTGATGATGGTGGTGGTGGTGATGGTGGTGGTGGTGGTTGTGATGATGATGATGATGGTGGTGGTGATGGTGGTGGTGGTGGTTGTGATGATGATGATGATGGTGGTGGTGATGGTGGTGGTGGTGGTTGTGATGATGATGATGATGATGGTGGTGGTGGTGATGGTGGTGGTGGTGATGGTGGTGGTGGTGATGGTGGTGGTGGTGGTGGTGGTGATGGTGGTGGTGGTTGTGATGATGGTGGTGGCGGCGGCGGCGGATATAAAACAAACTTATTTGATAATGATAGAAATAAACTCACATACAACTTAGGACTAAAACTCAGTTTCATAAAAAAAACGAAAGAACAAAAAATCGTCCGTTTCTACTTCTCTGATACACCCAGACCGTCTTTATTCAAACCCTTGCCGCACATCAGAATGTTTACGAATGATCTCTTAACCTGAAGTAGATGTAAATTTATGTCAGGGAAAGGCCATGTTTTTTACGAGACAAAAGCACTTGGCAT